GAATGAGTCAGTTAGAAAAGGAATATGGAGATCTCTCAACAGCCATAACAAAACATGGAGAGGACTGGCACAGAGAAATTGACAAACTTGTCCAGAAACTTAAAGCTGAAGTTGATGAGATGAAAACTTCACAGTTACAAACTCTACAGAAACATCTGGATGAAATAAAGCAGAAATTGTCCAACATGGAGAATGACATTGAATCAGTCAATGTAATCGTAGAATCTAATGACTTTTCAAAATTGTTTAGTCTTCAGTTTGATGTAGACAGATACATAAAGCTTCCATACAAAATCGTGCCATCTTTACCAAAATTCATGCCAGGAAAAATTCAAGGAGAAGAACTTAGTAAAAATTTTGGGGCTCTATCATCAAGTTCTTTAACTTTTAATAAAGATAGCTACAGCTTGAAGACAAGACAGAAATCACTAGAAGCTGAATCCTCTTCTCCTGTCAAACGGCTGCTTGATGAACCAGAAACTGTCACCACCATAGACACTGGATATGGACTTTCATATTTGGCCTGTCTGAGTGATGAAGAAATCTGGACAAGTGGAGGTGACAGCACCATGAAACTCTACAGCATCAATCAGGGATCACTACTCAAGTCAATCACAACCAAGTCAGGGAACACACCACAGGACATAGCAGTGACAAAAAGTGGAGATCTAATTTACACTGATTACTGTCAAAGTGATAGAACTGTGAACATTATGAAGAATGAAGAGAAAGAAGAGATGATCAGACTACAGCAGAACTGGAGATCTGACAGTATATGTAATACTTCCTCTGGTGACCTCCTGGTTATCATGCGCAGTGATGATGGAAAACTAACAAAGGTTGTCCGTTACTCTGGGTCAACAGAGAAACAAACCATTCAGTTTGATGATGAAGGCAAACCCCTGTACACTCCTGGGTTGTGTATATTTCCTAAGTCCATAACTGAGAATAAAAACCTTGATATTTGTGTGACTGATGAGGGAGCTAAAGCAGTAGTGGTGGTCAATCAGGCCGGGAAACTGAGATTCAGGTACACTGGACACACTCCTGCTCCAAAGAACCAATGGTTCGATCCGGTAGGAATCACTACAGATAGTCAATGTCACATCCTCACAGCTGATATGTACAATGACTGTGTCCACATCATAGACCAGGATGGACAGTTCCTCCGTTACATACAGTGTGGTGTGAGTCAACCCAAAGCACTGTGTACAGATACAAAAGACAATCTCTTCGTTGTTCAATATAGTACCACACAAGTGAAGAAAATCAAGTATCTGCAATGAAACCATTCCTGATCTGTATATTTCTAGTATTATGATGAAAGTTTAAACGATGCACTTAAAAACGAATTCCTAAAATGTTGACCAAACTGCCTGGTATTCAGTACTCGCGCTATTTATGTTATGATGTATTTACGTAGTATATTTTTTCTGTCACAAAAATTAGTCGTAGCCTGACAAGCTGCTTGTAACAAATGTTGCAAATAAAAGAGGTCCGTGTTTGCTCTGCTTCTACTTTGTATTGTTTTAGGGACTTTTGAGTTTGAATACTGTTTGTTATCTCCATTTATCTACTGTTTACCGTACTTGTCCAAGTTGAGAAAGATCCCAACTTCATATAAAGGTTTGCTGTCAGAAATCACACTGAGTAATGTGAATGATGTAACAAAATATCAAAGTAGTGTCTTATCAAAATGACAAAAGGAACATCAGGGGTGAGGCAAAGCTCTCGGTTTTCCTTTTGTTCACTCATATTGTCGTTACAAAGTCTCCCTGACCCATAATATACGAAGAGTAATAAACGATCCTATAAGAGAATAAAACTGCCAAAGGTTCTCCAAATATTTTGCGGGAATCCATGATTATAATATTATAATTTTTTCAATCTCAAAATCGCTAAGCTATGAATGTTTTTCACTCAACTACATGTCGTCACAGTCTATGACGGTGTGTTAAGAAAATATGGTGGCAATGAGAAAATCGAAGAAAACGTAATAAACAGAAAATTTAGCATTTTTTAGTTGAATATGGAATATATTTCACCTGTAAAAATCTCAAAACTCCTAATTTATTTATGATAAATTCCATTTATTATATTCACATTTGTGTATTACTCAATTTTACTGTTGAATTAATGCAATCACGCGACGTCGTGATCCGACTTTCCGAATCACCACACTCGTTTAAGATATTGTCTCATAGTTATAATATGGAGAAAGAAGATGTTTTTCACTTAGAATGGATGTCATTGTATCGATCGACCATAGACTTTGCGAAATGCTAACTTCAAACGGCATTTAAATGTTAAGGGTATACATGAATTACTAAAGAAATATGGGAAGATGACAATAGAAAATAGTCTAAATTTTTATAAAATTTTGAGACTGTCCCTGTGTCATCATATTGACTCAATTTGTAAAACTTAAATATTTTATTCCTAAAAAGCCCCAAAATCCTGAAGTAGCAAGATAAAGCTATAATACTGTAAACGTATTACATTTGGCTGTGTATTCTTTTTAGCGCTTTTGGCGGAAAGACACTTCCGCTAATTCAATTACAACGCTAAATGTTTTGTACTTATATACGTAAATAAGAACTATTGGAAATGCACTAAATCAAATCTACGCTAACTTGTTCAAAACTTAATTTCCGCCAAATATCGTACACGTTAAATATAATACATTTACAGTAATTGTTTCATGTAGTGAAATTTTTCAGATTTTCCAATATACATATTACAATCAGCTAAATTTTACGGAAAAAGTCAGCCACACATTTTGATTGCCCCTAGAAAAAACCCTGTCCTCTGTCACTTTATATGGTCTACCTGAGCTCCGTTTGCACTGACGCAAAGCGAAATTTCATTCGCACATTTGCTGACTAAAAAACAAACAAGTTGACAGAGTAAACACAAGACAGACCCATTGCTGAAGAATGAATTTCTCCACTTCTCAATTTTCTTTCTTCTATTCAGAAAAAAACAATTGTTTGAAATAATTTGACATTGGCCAAAAAAAATCAAAATGGTCACCAATTTGGTGAATTCTTGAGAATTTTAGAATTAATGAATGTTTAATAAGTCGCAAATTAGAGCATTGCCGCATGACAATTCTACCTCGAGGTGGTTCGAACTTTTTTCAGTGCAAATTCTTTTTTAAAAAGGGGGATGACTAACCACCCCCTCCAGTTCCGACGCTTATGAAATTAGCATTTGTCTCCAGCTAGTCCTTGGGTTGAAAGAGGATGAGTGTCATTTTCATACACATTTTGAGGTCATTGTGGAAAATGGTTTCTTCTGTCTCTTGAAGAGGTAAGATATAAACCAAACTTCTCTGTAATGTCAAGTAATTTTTTGGCAGAGTAAAAAAAATGCATAATACAATGAGAAATTATAACTGATGTTTCTTTATTTTTTCAAATATATCGATTTAGTAAATAATTCAGCTGTCTCGTGCTAAATACTGTCAATACATTAAAGGTGTTTTAATTTCTCAGTATAAATAAATCTTCAGAGCTACTTAAGTTTGGAGTGCATGCAGATTTAGTTTTTTGGGGAGTTTTTAAATATCTTCAAGCAAGAGAGAGACCAATTGATTTTTTTGGGAAAGTCCTAATTATATAACTTCAATAATATAATTCCACAGGTGTGTTCAACACACAGACCAAAGGTGTGCACAAGAGGACAGTCTGGACTTGTTCAAGATTGGCATCATATATTATAGATATCACCATGATCACATCAAAGGTATATAAATATGTTAAATCATATCTAACTCAGCATATATCTGTCTGTCTGAGGCAATTGTATTGGAAATTTCTCATGTTTTTTATTATCAGTATGTCAACTATTCCACCCATTCTAGTTTTTTATGTAAGTGAAACAAAAGAAAAAATCAAACATCCTAAAATTACTAATATACTTGTTCTGGAAATTGCAGAAATATACTAAGACAGAATATTCTTCATGGGATGTTATTCTTATGAAGTGTCAAATCCTTTTCAAATTATAAATCAAGTATTCAAGATTAAAATAGTTAAGAAATTGAATTTTCATTTATGTATGAAGGCATTAACTATGACGCTTCTTGCAGACTTATGTCAAGAAGTATTCCATCTCGGTATGATAAATACGCAGACTTGAAGAGTTGTTCATGTACCACACAAATATTCACAAATTGAAGAATTTAAAGTTAAGTAGAATTTAATCGTATATATAAATTATATATCTGATGATAGGCCACAAATTATGTAATTCAACTATCATTTTAGATTTCATTCTATTTTTTAAATTCAAGTACAGTTTTATGACGTCACAATGGCTATATTTTGGTTCAGATGACTCATTAATATAATTCACAGTCTTCTGTATTCGTAAGGAAAAATAATTGTAAATTTTTTTAAATTAATAACTTCCGAAATAAAAGGTACACTGAGGAAAGAAGTGTACAGAGGTTATCCGCCTTAAGACTAAGAACAGACTTAAAACATTTGAAATAAAGATAACTCTTAAAATAGTTTTGATCATTCGAGAAAATTTTCGTCATTTGATAGTATGTAATTATTTAATGAATCACTGTCTAGTTAGTGTAGTATGCCAGAGCATCAACGATAGTGGGAAACATGGGATAATTTGCATAACGGGCGAAAAAAAAATTGTAGATTTAGACTTTTAAAATGTAGACTAATAGATTTAAATAACACGAGGACTTCCATGCCAATTTTATTATTCCTCGCCCACTGACGTCAAACAGAAAGGCAGTTACACGAGATTTACATGCATATTTGGCCTCCTAAGAGTCAGACACAGAGACAGATGCGCACCAGATTTGCAAGCGTATTAGGCCTCCTTTGCTCCTGACCTATCGACCTGCCTAATTTACATTCCGGCAGAATTATCAAGAAATATCCTCCTCATACTTACAAAGAGTTATAACAGAGAAAAAAATATAGAAATGGAAATATTTAAACGTCTGTAATATTATAAATACTTAGTAAGATAATAATAAGATATATTGAGAATCAAAATTTTGGCTTAAGTTTATTGATTTCTCAGTAAATTGTCTTGAGGCCTGACTGATCTTGGATGAACCCTATCTTTCTTTTCTCCGTATGTACTTTATTCATCCAAAAATTCTGAGATGTTCTCGGAAAATTTCCTCCAAGTTTATTAATTATATCTTTATTTTACACATGTACATAGTTTTATGCTGTTTTCAAACCGTAATCTAAATGATATACTGACACTTGTTGAATTAAACTATAAACAAATGAAAACTTTTATTACATGTAGGAATCACAATCTTTTGCTATAAATACAATGCTTTTTACGATGTAGGTTGATACTTATGGTTAAGAGCATTGCATTGTTAAGAAGTAAGTACTAAGTAGTAAACATGCTATTCATATATCAAAATATATCAATATGATATATAAACTCCTAACAATGCGTTAAAATAAATATACAGTCTACATTTAGAAAATATGGAGATAAATACTCATTTCTTAGGTACAAATTAAATTGATCTTCTGTAATAAAAGGGATGATTGTTCTGCTTTTGAATATGTGTCCTTTAAATTTCATCAGCATGTTCACCTTGGAGAGGGTAGTCTTTTAACAACTCTCCTCCTCCCTAAGTTTTTCCCTTTGTAAGTCAGCTAAGTTTTGTAGTACCATTGTATTCTTCTTAATACTGGAGTCTAACGTCATCAACAGACGTCCATTCTGTCTTGTTGCTTCCAGTAATTCCTTAAGTGTATTCAACATTTCCCGCCTTAAAGAAATTTCATCTCTTTCTTGGATACCTTGTGTAAGAGTGTCATCTTTCTTTTCTTTTGAGGTATCATCAAAGTCTTCCTCTGAAGCTACGTTTGGTTGTTGTCCTGAAGTTGAGGAAATCTCCTGAGGAAAGATGCATGGCAGGTCAAGCATGATTTCCTTCTCCTTCGTTCCAGATGATGACTCTTTGGTTTCTTCACTTTCCTGGGTGAGGTTTTCTTGCATTTTGTCTTGTTTGATCTAAGATTTATCAAACATAAAACCAGTGAAAACTTTCTTATTATTAATTTGATATGTAAAAATAAATAGACCTAATATTTTGATGGAATGTTTTTTTTAAATGTTAAGGTTATGGATCAAAATACAATATTCCGATATTTAAACAAAACTATTATCAACAGTTCAAGTCTATTGTGACATGTTTGACTCTCAAGGTCGGTGAAAATTCTACTAAAATTAACATTTAATCATATACTTATAAGTCTCTACTGTAAAAATATAATTCATGACCTCAGAACGGGGCATGGTAGTAAAAGATGTGTTTTATAAAAAGTACCCAACTAAAAACTGACCACGTGAACTTATATGCTAGACTTGTTATTAGTAAATATATAGGACAAATGTAATTATAAAGGTAATTCAAATTTGTTAAATCTGACCATCAAATGGTATCAGAAAATCAAAATGTACCACTGAATACCATCCTACAAGCTACATTTCATCATATACTACCTACCTTTGCACTAGTACTATTTAAATCTGACCATGGGCTACCATACGATAGTTAGAAATGATTGTAAACTCACATTAAGCAAGTCTTGTTGCTGCATACAGATCTGCATTGTCATTTTACTAGAATGAAAACAAAAAAGGCTAAGGATGTAAAAATAGATAATGCCTTTTGAATTTATATTATCAAACAATAGAATTTTATTGGTATTTAAATTTTTTTTTTAAATCAGCATTTTTTTTTCACTTGAACATGTTGAATGACAAAAAAAATACATTTTTCTGGCTACATTTCTTTTTGATATTCAAATATTCAAAATATTACAGAGCCTTCATTTCAATTTATTTGCACCATTTTCAACCATTAAAACTGATGCTTCTCTATTGGGCCTGAGACTGAAATCTAGAGTATATATATTTTATTAATCCAGTCAGAATCACTAACCTGATGTTTTCTAGTTGTGACTTAGACCAATACTTGGAGGAGAGGCTCACTCGCGGATTTATGGAAGTCAGACTTTCTTCATTTTCCGACTTTCCCTCTTCCGTATCCTACAAAGATTCTTTACATGTTATAAAAAAGCAGACATTAACAAAGAAGCAAAGTACTGCACAAGCAATACTAGTCACTAGTCTCCAACCAACAGGTGTAATCTTCCCTCCCTTAAAAAGGCCATAATTTTGAGAAAAAGAATTATGGAAGCAGAAAGAAACGCAAATCTGATCTATAACTCATCGTTTTACACTCTCAAACCGGATGTCAGCTCAGTAACTATAAATGTTATAAAATACAGAAAGCCAAGTGGGACAGACTAACAGTCAGTTAGACAGACAGGCAGACAGACAGACAGACAGAGGATCTCATCCGGTTCACCAATAGAGAATTGGACTAGTAATACTGTCAGATTTCATAAATGTATATTCCAATCACATATTTTATGTGGGTATTTTTTCTCTCTTTCTCTCTCAGTTTAGTCAGAGCACATTTGTGTCTTGTTTGTTTTAAACATATTTTATAGACAGCATTTCAAAGGGATTGGACACAAGTTCCTATTGTGTCATTATTCGTATCCTAAATCTACACGTCCGTCTCATTCTTGTTTCTTTGTAACTTAGTACTTTATAAGAAGGATATGGAGAAAACGAACAATATTCAATATCAAAGTCCATAAAACAAAACAAAATAGGAGCAGAGCAAACGCGGACCTCCAAAACATCGGAGGTAGGATAAGGTGCCACGGAGGAGTGAGCATCCCATGCTGACCGTTCACACCCGCCATGTGCTCCTTGTCATGATATAAATGTAATATCCTAATGTTTCAAAGTTGGTCCAAACTGGATTTTTGGATATAGCCTTTTTTGAAAATTGGAAGAATTCCATACATATATCAATGTTACATTTTCGAAATTGCAATATATTTGCTAATTATGATTCAATTTCATTTATCAATACTTGATCAATTTCTTCCGTGTCAGATTTAAATATGATAAGAACATTTTGCCTGTTCAGTTGTTAGGACGTTTTATTATTGTGCGGAGAGTTTTTTAAACAACTCTCGTCGGTTTATATCAAAAGAATTTCATTATTGATAGTGACTGTTCTTTCCCCAAAATGGTCAACGAAACAAGTGAAGAGATGCATTTCTTAAGAAATACCCTTGCAGATTTTTGCACAATGAAGCCCCAGCCAAATCAATTGGCTTGATAATTTCATATACTCTAAATTTGGCACTTTTCTAATATTAGTGAAATATTTCGTTTGGACGTAAAGCATATCCTACAATCCATGTACCACTCACTGTGTCTACTGGTTCGACTGAGGGGTCATTCCCGGAGACGGTTGAATCTTCTGGATTCTCCTCTTGCTCCACATTATCCTCAACATCCTCCACAGGCAAGGTTTCCTCGCCGGGCGGCTCTGGCAACAATACATTTCAGTAATAGTACTTAGAAACTGTAAGGCAAGAGGATTTTCACAGGTAACAAGTTCCCTTGTAATTTGAATAATCCGTTTAAAAAATTTATGAAATTCATATTTTTAAAAAGAAATTACTCTCGAAGTACATTGAATGGATGTCTATCAATCACACCCTCTGCAATGGTAATTTAAATATATTACTTTATAGATATCTTCGTATGTCCACTCACTGTAATAACCTCGAGGCTCGCCCTGCACACACGGACCCTTTCTACCGCTTATCCATGACTTTAAACTGTCATTATTTACAGCCCAACGACCAGAAGGCGGCTGCGGTTGGTGATCAGATTCCCCTGAAGTAGAGATATCTCTGCCCATCTGGAAACAAATAGCCAGTCATTATAGGTACATGTAACAAAGGTCATTCCCTTCCTGGTATAGTTTACTCTTAAGAAGCACTTATTTATTTCTGAGTAAGTACAATCCTTAGTTATACCCGCACTTTCTAAAGAAAGTTCGGGTATATTGTTGTTACTCATGTCCGTCCGTCCGTCCGTCCGTCCGTCCGTCTGTCACACTTTTCTTCCCTGAACTCCTCCTACATTTTACACAGTAGCTTAGTCATCTTTTAAGAGATGGTTGGTGGTGTCATGTAGATGTGCAGTAAGGTTTCGGAATTTCGATTTTGCCCCGGGGGGTCAAATGGGGGTCGAAAAATGACGTTTTTTGTGCAAAAAGTCCCGTCTTCCCTGAACTCCTTCTACATTTTACTCAGCAGCCTAATCACCTTTTGGGGGATGATTGGTGGTGTCATGTAGATGTGCAGTAAGGTTTCGGAATTTTGATTTTGCCCCGGGGGATCAAATGGGGGTCGAAAAATGACGTTTTTTGTGCAAAAAGTCCCGTCTTCCCTGAACTCCTTCTACATTTTACTCAGCAGCTTAATCACCTTTTGGGGGATGGTTGGTGGTGTCATGTAGATGTGCAGTAAGGTTTCGGAATTTTGATTTTGCCCCGGGGGATCAAATGGGGGTCGAAAAATGACGTTTTTTATGCAAAAAGCCCCATCTTCCCTGAACTCCTCTTACATTTTACTTAGCAGCCTAATCATCTTTTGTGGGATGATTAGTGGTGTCATGTAGATGTGCAGTAAGGTTTCGGAATTTTGATTTTGCCCCAGGGGGTCAAATGGGGGTCGAAAAATGACGTTTTTTGTGCAAAAAGTCCCGTCTTCCCTGAACTCCTTCTACATTTTACTCAGCAGCCTAATCACCTTTTGGGGGATGATTGGTGGTGTCATGTAGATGTGCAGTAAGGTTTCGGAATTTTGATTTTGCCCCGGGGGGTCAAATGGGGGTCGAAAAATGACGTTTTTTGTGCAAAAAGTTCGTCTTCCCTGAACTCCTTCTACATTTTACTCAGCAGCCAAATCACCTTTTGGGGGATGGTTGGTGGTGTCATGTAGATGTGCAGTAAGGTTTCGGAATTTTAATTTTGCCCCGGGGGGTCAAATGGGGGTAGAAAAATAACGTTTTTTAGGTAAAAAGCCCCATCTTCCCTGAACTCCTCTTACATTTTACTTAGCAGCCTAATCATCTTTTGTGGGATTATTAGTGGTGACATGTAGATGTGCAGTAAGGTTTCGGAATTTTGATTTTGCCCCGGGGGGTCAAATGGGGGTCGAAAAATGACGTTTTTTGTGCAAAAAGTCCCGTCTTCCCTGAACTCCTACATTTTACTCAGCAGCCTAATCATCTTTTAGGAGATGGTTGGTGGGATCATGTAGATGTGCAGTAAGGTTTCGGAATTTTGATTTTGCCCCGGGGGGTCAAATGGGGGTCGAAAATGATGTTTTTTATGCTAAAAGACCTGTCTTCTCTGAACTCCTCTTTCATTTTACTCAGCAGCTTCATCACCTTTTGGAGGATGGTTGGTGGTATCATGTACATGTGCAGTAAGGTTTCTGAATTAAGATTTTGCCCCAGGGGATCAAATGGGGGTCGAAAAATAACGTTTTTCATACAAAGTTTTCCCTGAACTCCTCTTACATTTTACTCGGAAATGGTTGGTGGGGTCATGTAGATGTGCAGTAATGTTTTGGAATTTAGATTTTGCCCTGGGGGGTCAAATGTGGGTCGAAAAATGACGTTTTTTGTGCAAAAAGCCCTGTCTTCCTTGAAGTCTTCCTTAATGTTACTCAGAAGCCTAATCATCTTTTAGGAGAGTTAAATATTTTGAAAATTATGTAAAACATCAACGTCAAGGGGTAACAAGATGTGTTTGTGAAACACTATGCGCCCGGCGTCAACAAAGTTTGGAAAAGCTATTTTTAGCATATAGGTCACAGTCAAGGTCACAAGGTCATTGACCTTGGTGTTGTTTGTAAGAACTTAATTAGTGGGGTATGCATACTAAATATGAAGTCCCTATCTCCTATGGTTCAAAAGTTATGGCAAAAAGTAGAAAAAGCTATTTTTAGTATAAAGCTCATAGTTTAGGTCACATGGTCATTGACCTTGGTGTTGTTTGAAAGAACTTTATTAGTGGAGTATACATTCTAAATATGAAGTCCCTATCTCTTATGGTTCAAAAGTTATGGCAAAAAGTGGAAAAAGCTATTTTTAGCATATAGGTCACAGTCAAGGTCACAAGGTCATTGACCTTGATGTCATTTGAAGGAACTTTATTAGTGCAGTATGCATACCAAATATGAAGTCCCTATCTCCTATGGTTCAAAGGTTATGGCAAAAAGTGGAAAAAGCTATTTTTAGTATAAAGGTCACAGTCAAGGTCACATGATCATTGACCTTGGTGTTGTTTGAAAGAACCTTTTTAATGGAGTATGCATACCAAATATGAAGTCCCTATCTCCTATGGTTCAAAAGTTATAACAAACAGTTGAAAAACCTATTTTTAGCATATAGGTCACAGTCAAGGTCACAAGGTCATTGACTCTGATGTCATTTGAAAGAACTTTATTAGAGGAGTATGCATACTAATTATGAAGTCTCTATTACTTATGGTTCAAAAGTTATGACAAACAGTTGAAAAACCTATTTTTAGCATATAGGTCACAGTCAAGGTCACAAGGTCATTGACCTTGATGTCATTTGAAACAACTTTATTAGAAGAGTATGCATACCAAATATGAAGTCTCTATCTCTTACGGTTCAAAAGTTTTGGCCAAGGGTAAAGTTGACAACAGACAAACAGATAAACAGACAGACAGACAGGACAAAAACAAAAAATTCGAGCGCATAAAAAAACATCGCATGCTGGGAAACACCTTGAATTCTTATGAGTAATTTATGTACATGTCAAATGTGAGCGTCATATCTCATCTTAATCAAAAGTTATAAGCAAATGCAACATTTTTGAAAAGTAGGTTAGACTTGATCGCTTCAAGGTCAAGGTCACAGTGTAAAAGTCATGATTTATTTGGAAAGGTCTTATCACAGGTAATAATATACATGCATTATGATATGAATGCCCTAACTTTTTCTCTTTCAAAATGATGAATTTATAACAATTTAATTTTTTTGCAAGTTGGTCAAACTTCTAGGTCACATGTAAAAAAAAAACCTTGCCATTCTCACAGGTAAATATACTAGTACATAAGTTTAATATGAATGTCTCTTCTCATTCAGTAGATATGACCGTGATAACCAAGGTTAAATTTATTGAGACAGATGGACTGAGTCTGACATACAAATGTACATATTTCTATATGAATTGGGTAAAATTGGCCCAGTGGTTCTAGAGAAGTTAAAAATGTAAAAAGTTTTCAGACAAACAGATGCACAACACGTCACGACAGACATTATATGCTAAGGAAACCAAAAAAGCTCAAATGAGTGTTTTGAAAGGGTTACAATATGGTTGGAGTATTTGAAAAGCTGTTTTTTCCTGCAGAGATATGCATGACCAAGGCCATCCTTAAAAAAATGTTTGTTTGGAATTGCCGCCTGTAGGGTTTCAGACACAGGAGGGAGGGAGGGAAATTATTCTTTTTTCAATTGAAGATAAATTAAAAATTTTTTATAAAAATCTCAGTAAACAGTAAATACGTATACATTTTCTTACTTTAAAAAAAGTATCTACCAACAATATCAACAATAAAACCTAATTTTACATAGGTCTGACATGTGATAAATGTAATTGGCAAAAAAAATGATTAAATAAAAAAAAATCTTCCTGCTTTTGGTCAATAAAATTTTTCAGGAGGGGGCATTTCAATGAGGCGGGAGGCAATACCAAACAAACTATAATTTTATTTTGGCCCAACATATTCATGTTTTATATTTTCTTTAGTGATTTGTTTGTTTGTTGTGAATACATCTTCCCTCATATGGAGACACCACCAAATAATAATGAAGATAAGATGTGTTTGTGAAACACTGATGTCCCAGTATGGAAGCCTATGGCGAAGGTTGAAGTTTCTCAAATATATGTCAAAATCAAAGGTCAAGGTCAAAGGGTTCAAATTGTTAGTATCAGAAGAAAGTCTTGTCACAGGGAATGCACATGTGAAATAAAGAAATCCCTAGTAATTCCTGTTCAAAAGTTAATTGCCAAGGTTAATTTTTTTGTTTAAGTGGTTCAAACTCTAGGGTCAAGGTCAAACATATTTATTCAAACTCTAGGGTCAAGGTCAAACATATTTATACCTGTTGACAGTTCACAATGAATACAATATGTCATGATAAGTATGAAAGCCCTAGCACCTACTGATCAAAATTTAGGCAGAGTTTAAAGTTTGGTATTTTTCTTGTAAAAATGTGTATCCCATGTCAAGCGATCAGAGGTAAAAATTAATGGTACCCAAATAAAAGTTCTTATTAAATTGTCAAAAGAAATAAACCTATAAAATGTGGAAGCTATTTGTATAGCCCATCCCACTTAAAACTTATGGGCAAGCTAGCTAGGATTTAATTTCTGCAGACTTATAGACAGACATACTATAAACACAAGAAACAAAATATGTATAATAATTAGTCAAATGGAAAAAAAAAATATACTATTTAACTGGAATCACAAAATACATTGTTATTTCAGGGACAGGAAGTGGGTAGGAAGATTGGAATCCCCCCTCCATCCCCCCATCTGGCATTTGCTTTGTTATTTAAACAAGACTATATACTGTAGCAAGTAAAAAGTGACTTTTGACATCCTCTCCCTATAAACTTAGAAAACATTGACCTCACTATCATTGTTTTTTTATTTGTTTATTTGTTTTCATTTCTTTTCTCCTGCTTGTCACGAAATTCTGGGCTGGAATTTTTTGACTGAGATGTGAACCCCCCTCCCTACTCCCGAAAAAAATTCTGGATCCGCACCAGTATGGCAGTAACTGAATGTCACATCGACAACGGGAGATAACTTCACAATATGAAATTCGTCTAGTGTTGCATGCGATGATCTTTGACCCTTTTTAAACTTTAACCTAATCGTTTGGGTGTGTTTTACCCCCCACTATACTAAAACTTCTACTTACCCATCCTTGTGTCTTCATGAAATATAAATCCAATTATAACACAAAATGAATTAATCCAATGCACACCAGACTGCAGCCGCGTGCCATTTGGGCGAACCTTCGTCGATTCCATCACCTTATCAGATGAAGTGGGAATCGGCCGAGGTGTGCCAAATGGTGTTTAATCTATAAATATGATAATGGGTGACGCAACGTGATGTGATGTAGAAATTTACATGTTCACATGTATAGTACAAGAACAAATTTTAAATTAATTCATAACAAACGATATTAAATTTTAACAAACCTTTTCCATCTAGCCTATTCCAAAAAGTATGTGCGGTGTGATTGTGGTGTCGAGAGGGGTGGGGGGTGGGGGTGGGGGGGGGGGGGGTTAGTAAATTTAAAAAGGTCCTATTATGAGCAAAACATATATCAAAATCTAATTTCAGACGCGGATCCAGAAATTTTTTCCGGGGGTGGGGGGTCCACCTCAGTCAAAAAAAAAATCCTATCCCAGAAATTGACAATCAAAAAAAAAACCCTAAAGTAAATCTCACCAAAACGTCAAAAACCTATATCGTGTGTGTGTGTGTGTGGGGGGGGGGGGAGGGTAGTGGTGACTTCTATTGCCGCAAATGTTTAACTTTTCATACCTATTTAACACATATTCGTGTTTACCAGGGGGGGATCTGCATTTTCCAAGGGGGGTCCATTGTAAGTTCTTCCTTGTTTTAGTATATACATTTTCTAACCTTGTAAATTCCAGGGTGGGGGGGGGGGTCCTGACACCCCCCCCCCCCCCAGCAGATCCGTGCATGAATTTACATCATTAATAAAATTCAGTCTGGTATATAATGAATTAAGCATGTATAAAATAAATATAAGAGGTTCTGAGTTATAGGTCACAGGGTCTGAGAATTTCATACTCTATTTGATTAATACATGTAAATTATAGAATTATTTTGACTATTTCTTTGGAAAGTCGCCCAATATGTAGGAGCGTGTATTTAGAGGCAAACACCTTAGTGCGGGTATTACTGTCTCATGACAGCATCTAGTTATCATTTAAAGTGGTACTCCGTACAATGAAAGAGCCTCTGCAAGTTCAAAATCTTGTTTTCTGTGTTAATATTCGTTTAATTCCTCCTAAACCGACTATTCCCCAAATAACCCTTGCAAAACATTCACTTAGACCTAAAAGCTGACTACATGTTATTGTAGTATCTTCATTTGATTAATTATAACCCGAAACTTATCTGTAAGATAATGTAAATTTTCATTGATTATTTACCTTTCTGTTGATCTGATGATGACCCATGTAAGCCATTATTACTATAATCTGGATCACTTTGAGACATCTTCCCTAAAGCTTACCTGGCTTGTTATTCCTTTCTCACCTTCGCCTGGATCCAGCCGGGTAGTCCAGTTATCGTGCTGTTGAAGTCTGGTAGTTCCTCCTTTCTGGGAGCCTGTACTTCTGTCTGGATACTAGGTGACTCTTCATGTACCTGGGGCTCTAGCTCTTCCTGGATCTTGGCTGTATCCATCTGTTTACCGGGGCTCCTAACAGCTTCCTCCAGAGCTTTTTCTAGCGAGAGAGGGGCGGGATCAGCAATCCGGTAAGTCCGACTCCAGCTTGATCCCTGGTTCCTAATATTTCACCTCAGTTTAGTTCATTTCATATTAATCACATGTGATAAATAATGAAAATAAAAAAACAGAGAAAGCTTAGAATATAGTTCGATGGATAAAGAACATTGTACAAACGATATGTATGCAGAAGAGATACTGTTGACAATTATTTTTTTTTATTTACAACTAGTATTGTTTAC